TTAAACCCCATTTAGTAGACTAATATTTGAATTATTAAATATAAAATTAAAATTAATTATTAGATTAGATAAATGGATTTCAACGGATACCTATTTATTTGCTCAAAAACCCCATTTAATAAATGGGTCTAATCGGATTAGCCATTTAACTCCATTTAGTTTAATTTGATAAATGAGTCTAAACGAGTTTAACAAGCCTCATTTAGACCTACGAATTTCATACTCATTTTAACATCCCTAACTTGCTGACCAGAAAACTTTCGAGGCAATCCTGCTTTGTCTAGTTTCTTTGAAATCATTACAACCTGCGTTGATGAAAACAGCAAGGTACCATAAACCATAATAAGGATTCTACAGAGAAAGTGGAACTGCTTGGAACTCATCAAAACTCGATTCGAATTCAAGAATTTGACCTTACATTGAATTATTATTTCATTTGCAGACTTATGTTTCAACAGTTAAAAGCAAAGAGATACCCAATAACTTGCTTCCAGTGGCATCCTGAGGTATATTCAATGTTTTACAAACAATAACCGAGTAACCAACAAATCAAACCGGATACCGGTTTGTTACAATCTTAATTGCATAGTCTAATAATATCAATGTGATCTATATTGTGTTCTTGGTATGACTGATGTAAACCACACTATAAATTCTATGTAGAAAAAATGCATTTGAATGGGGATCATCTGCAATTCCGCACTCTGAGGACGCGATTCAGGTGACACAGCATGCTGCAAGTTAATTAGTAAGGTGAGAATTGAGATCTCAAATCAAGGCTCAAGAACAGTCTTAAGTATGTATGTGCTGGTTTCTCATGGATTTGAGTTTGAATGTTGGTGCATGCAGTGAAGCTAGGAAGTCGAAGAATAGACCAAATTCTAAGAAAGTGTTGAGTAACCTCATATACAACTACAAGCCTACTTACTGTGGATACGCAGGGTAAAGCTACTCGGACTCATCTTTACGCAATTTCTCTTCTTGTTTTTGGTTTGTTGTTGTATGTTTATAACTATTCTTTGGATCATATATATTTTGCAGGAGGGGTTACGATGAGGTTTACATTTTCACACAACCAAGATCMCGTTTCTAACAACATCRTCRTCCTCGTCYAGTGTTTGTTCAAGTGTACTCTACTAATTGATTTGTAATCTCAACTTTTGTAACTTGTGATCTCCATATAAGAAGAAGCCGATTGTTTACCAAAATCCAATTATGAAGCTACGAACACAACTCTTTGAGCCGTTGATGATATTCTTATCATCATCAGCTTAGATCATAAGAACTTTGTGCTTATAACTAGGTCGAATGTGTGTACTGTATTCGTTAGCTAGATACAATCTCACTTGTCATGTAGTAATAATACAAGCCCCAATAATTAAGGTATGTGTCCCACACCTCTGAGAAGTAGGTACGTGATATAAATCCAAATCAACACGTTTCTGTGCAAAGAATCATAATAACTACAAGATTGGTCCCTTTATATAGACAGGAAGCTAAACCATAATCCTTACACAGACCACTCTCTCTACTTTTTCATTTACCTCCATTGTTCATCCTCAGAGACATGTGGAGTTACTTCTATATAACGTTTTTACTCTTGGTTTGGAAAGATATCGGTGTGACGAATGGTTCTGAGTTGATTCTCCTCCCTAGCCAAAACGGAGTTGATGGTTCACTTGCCTTTGGCTCTTCGTCGAGTCCTGTTTGCCCCTCTCTGGATCCACACCTGAACTACAGACCCGTCATTGGGATTCTTAGCCATCCTGGAGATGGTGCGTCTGGTCGGTTGAGCAATGATACGAGCGCGACGTACATCGCTGCTTTATGTGAAGTTCGCCGAGGCAGGTGGAGCTCGTGTCATTCCACTTATCTACACTGAGCCTGAAGAAGTGCTCTTTGATCAGATTCTTTATTTTTCTCAGCTGATTCGGAAATGTATTCATTATCCATTAAAACTATATATAATATAGTTTCTTTATTTTGGATGTTGCTAATTTTGTTTTCACATTAAACAAATGTTATGTTCTTTTGGTGAATTACATTTTGGGAATTGTAGAAGCTAGAATTGGTCAATGGTGTGATATTCACTGGTGGTTGGGCTAAACAAGGACTGTATTATGAGATCGTCAATAAAATCTTCAATGTAAGTACTCTTTAAAGTTCTTCAACACTTAATCTGTTTGGTTTAATGTTAGCTGAAACATTTTTTCTTGTTTGCGTTTGTTGGTAGAATATAATTTTCCAATATTTGTAATTTTTTTCTTTTTTCACAGAAAGCTTTGGAGAGAAATGATGCTGGAGAGCATTTTCCGGTATTTGGCATTGCCCTCGGATTCGAGCTCATGACAATGATTGTTAGTCAGGTAACTCTTTTTTCTTACTTCTTCAGAACTATAGTTTTCATGTATCAAGATCTGAGATATACATTACAGAACACACTTTGGGATCTGCAGGTTGTATTAATCTAAACTTTGTCTTTACTAACAGGACAGAGACATTCTTGAAAGATTTGATTCTAAAAGCACTGCATCAAGTCTCCAGTTCGTTGAAAATGTTAATATCCAAGGAACTATATTCCAAAGGTGCATAGCTTTTCATGGTGCTTTTAGTTATTTTCAGTATATGCATTATGTAATTGTAATGTATGATATTTGCAGATTTCCTCAAGAGCTGTTGAAAAAACTCAGTACAGACTGTTTGGTTACGCAGAACCACCAGGTTAGTATCGCGACACCGACCTCTGATTTTCTGCAGAATATGGAATCTGTTTTCAAAAAGGTGTTTTTTTAACATATTAAACATTCTTCTTGTTTGTTTCTCCAGTTTGGTATCACACCAGCAAAGTTTCAAGGCAATCCTGCTCTGTCTAGTTTCTTTGAAATCGTCACGACCGGCATCGATAAAAAAAAGCAAGGTATTACAAAATAAACAAGAGAAAAAGTAACAAATCATAATTCTCAATATTTTACTCTCGGGCAAAACAACCGAGATTTCAAAAACAGATGTCATCTTCACCTAACCCCCACCGTCTATTTCGAACTTTTCTCCCCTCTCCGGCCATATTCTTCAAATCTTCTTCGTCTGGGTCTCACGTTTCTCTCCCTCCTCGCCGGCATCATGCCGAGAGATGGGTCAAATCGGTTTCTCTCACCGTGACGGAAGATTCTATTCACGGAGACGATGATCCTAGTCACCGGAGCTTCAGCGACGACGCCTTCTCTCTAACCAAGCCGCAAATCGTTCTCAGATCTACCACATATTCGATCTACAAATCCTCCGCGACGACTCTGCTTTTAGGATTTCTAGTTCTATGCTAAGATCTGGTCCGGTCTTCTCCCGAATTATCTCGGGTGTGTTAAAATCATCGGAAGAATTTCTCCTCCGACGACAGCTTAAGACGGAGAGTCGGTGGTGCTTCCCGGGAAACCTAGAGCGCCGGTGATTGAAGAAAAAAAAGTAGAGAGTTCCCGGAATTTTACGTATCCTCTTGTTTTAACATCCCTAACTTTGTGCTAAGCGTTTCATCTCTGGTTTTGAAAATTTTCTACTGCCGCACCATCTTCGCTGTGTCTCTTTTGACGACGGCAACGGCGAGCTCCCATCATTCTTCCCCATTTTAGGGTGTATATTTGTTGATGATTCTTTACTACAAACCCGTTCGTACGAGCTATAATAATCTAGCACAGTGCTAAATATCTAGCAAAGGCTTATCCCAGAAAGAAGATTATTTTGAAAATAAAAAATCTTTGTAATCTGTTGAC